CCGTCCAGCAGCCAATCGATGGTCAGCGCGGCCGGAGCGAAGCCGCTGACCACGCACAGGAGCTCGGCCGAGCCGGACGCGGAGCAGGAATGGAAAGCTCGGACCGAGGGGGGGCGGGGCTTGGCCGCTAAAAACATTTTGGGGAAAAATCCGGAGATTTTGGGAAAAAATTCGGTGAAAATCGGACGAAATTTGACCAATTTTTGACCATTTTTTAACGATTTTTGACGATTTTTTGGCATTTTTTGCTCAATTTTTGACCATTTTTTGACCAATTTTGCATCAATTTCGGGTCAAAAACGGGGTAAATTTTGCCCAATTTTGGTCAATTTTGGGTGAAAATTCAGCGAAATTTGGGTGAAATTTGAGTGAAATTTGAGCATTTTTGGACCAATTTTTGGTGTTTTTTGACCAATTTTTGCCCAATTTTGGGTGATTTTTGACCAATTTTGAGTGAATTTTTTGCGATTTTTGGGCGAATTTTTGACCAATTTTTGCTCAATTTTTTCGTGATTTTTGGGTGAAATTTGGGTGAAATTTGACCAATTTCGGACGATTTTTGACCAATTTTTGACCATTTTTTGCTCAATTTTGAGTGAATTTTTTGCCATTTTTTGGTGAATTTTTGGTGATTTTTTGACAAATTTTGGGTGAAATTTGACCAATTTTTGACCATTTTCGACCAATTTTTAACCAATTTTTGGTGAATTTTTGGTGAATTTTTGGTGATTTTTTCGTGAATTTTGGTTGAAATTTGGGTCAATTTTGACCAATTTTTGACCAATTTTGGGTGAATGTTTTGGTGATTTTTGGGTAAATTTTGGGTCAATTTTTGGGTCAATTTTTGGGGCATTTTGGGGTCAATTTTGTTCCAAATTTTGGTCATTTTTGGGGTCAATTTTTTATGAATTTTTGGGCCAATTTTTTTTCAATTTTTCTCAATTTTTTTCCCAATTTTCCCCAAATTTTCCCCATTTTCCCCATTTTTTCCCAATTTCCCCCATTTTTCCCCCCAAATTTTTCCCTCCATTTCCTGGCCACACCTACCTGGGGTCAAAGCTCGGGGGGCGGGGTCAGCRCGAGGGGGGCGTGGCCACCCTGAGGACGTCGAACGCAATTTTTTTTTGGGGTAAAAACCCCAATTTTGGGTTTTTTTTAAAAAAATCCCAATTTTTGGGGTAAAACCCCAAATTTCGGGAAAATTCCCCAAATTTTGGGGTGGGGGAGGGGAATTCGGGACCTACCTGAGGTGGAGGGGGCGGAGCTTTGGGCGGAAGGGGCGGAGCTTTGGGTGGAGGGGGCGGAGCCCCCCGAGGTCACGGCGGGGTCGGGTTTTGGGGTGAAAAATCCTGAATTTGGGTCAAAATCCCGAAATTTTGGGAATTTTTCGCCATTTCAGACGCGAAGAAAAATAAAAAATTCCCCAAAATGTTCAAATTTTGGAG